ACTCTACTTTAATTTTTGATGTGAAACATCTATAGCCGTACGTAAAACTGATTTCCGGCGTGGCGACGCATGCCGTGGCGACGCGTCGCCACGCTATATGATGGTATATACAGCGTGTCCTTACCATCGCGACAATAAATGAACACAACTCTAACGCTATTTGCCAATAATCATAAAAAACATCAACGTTAAACAAAATCCATAATTAAAAAAAATATTTTACAAACAAACTAATTAAGTAAAAAAGAAACAAAATTTGTAACATCCTGTACAACTCGCGCCACAGCGTCGTATTACAAGCCTCTCCTTCTAACGGTACGTTTTGTCTCTTTTAAATTCATTTAACCCATTCATATGCTTTGTGACCTTTACAAATGAACTTTACGTTACGCTTTTATAGGTAAGGGGTTCTAAAATTCTGTGTTTTGGAAAATTTAATAACTCTGTAAATATTGATGTTTAAAGAATTTAAATGTTTAATACAAACTTTAAAAAGCTATCCCCTATATGTGTGTTCATTTATTGTCGCGATGGTAACGACACACTGTATATGCAGTAGTGTGTACAGTGTGGCGGCGCGTCGCCATGCGCAATCGACTGTGCGATTCAAAATAATTGAAATAATTGAAAATTTAAAATTATAGGTAAAATCGTAATATTTTATTTTATCATTATGACATGTTTAGTTCCTATCACAATCTGTTCTTTTCTGCATATTACTTTTACAAAATAATGTCGATGTTTCACATCTGCCAGGCGTCCCGTGACGGTTCACATTTTTTTATTTCGAAGATATGTGAAATCCGCCAATCCACAGTGTTGTAATATGCCCTAATACCCTCTGTACAGAGAACGTTTTTCTGTAGTGGTGGGACAAACATAAGCTGTTACTTTACTTTTTACTTACGATACGTATTCTTTCTTTTCCTTATACCGATCGTTATCCTGAACGGATATCATGGCTCTTAGTAGGACTGTAAACAATGGATCCAGTACACGACCGAATCCGCCCGTGCACTGCTTATCGCGATTCACAAAAGGCACTTTTTCATTTCCCCCCGTGAGCTAGCCGCGGTTCCTCGGTCTTCGGTTTTTTGGGGCGCCACTCTCTATGGAGCAACGGGCGTAAAGGAGAGTCACGTGATTTAGGGATGACGAAAACGCTATTTTCGTTGCGACGAAACGTTATTTCGCTGCGCGTGAACGTCGCTGGGCTCGCGTGACATATTTTCGTAGTGTCGAGGATGACAAATGCGGTGATAAATCACACGGCGTAAGTCAGCTTTTCTTTTAAAAGTTTTAGTTTTTCTCGTATCCGTTGGAGATTTACTGTGTATGTGACAGGCCCATTCGTTTCGGTGGTTGCTGATTAACTGACATTGTGACGATGATATATCTCGTTGGATCTGATGCTATGATGATTATTACATAAGATTTGTCGATTGTGTTTCACGTTCGAATCGCCGCTATTTGTGTTCAAACAAACAATAGATAATTAATATTAGTGTGATAACATTATTAATTTAAAATATCAATTTAAAATACATTTTTGTATACGCTTAAGTCATTTTGAGACCTATAAAATTTTTAATCAAAATATACTGTTACTGTTTGTGTTTATAACAGTAAAAATCATCATCTCTACAATTTAATGTAAACATCATCTCTATAATTTTAACCTATTAAATGACTACTTTGTTCCTTAACATTTTTGTAGAATAAAGGAACGAAAATTTATAGCTGTAGGTATAGTCGGACCAAATAATAATAAATATTTTTACACAGTGTTATCTATTCTGAAACTAAGCAAGTATGTTTCTATGCAAAATGTTTTAGTTAACAATAACATATTATTTGAACTGCATATTATATTCTGCTTAAACTGCATATTATTAAAAGTTAATATGATTACAATTATAAAAGTATTTTACTTTCATTTCGAGAAGGTGCATTTATTCGAGTGTTTTAAGAAAAAAAAAAACGTATTACATAACCGTAACTGAACGCGAGAGAATGTTAAAGGGAGGTTTGGCATAAGCGCTAATTTCCGCCGGCGCCAAGTTAAATGCGCTGTGGGTATTCGACGACTGCAGTAACCTGGCGCCCCATGCATAAAGGCAGAAGTTTTTAAGAATAAGCTTTTTTATTTTTAAAACCGATAATGAATTAATTAAAAATTGAAAATGAAGTATATTATATTAATCAACCATTTACATTTTTTTTTCAAACAATTTGGAGAATGAATTAAAAAAATGCAGGCGCACATTGAAATAACATCATTTAGCTATGGGAAAAGATTAATATATAAACATAAAATGCTAAACCTTTTTGAATAAGGAGTGTCAAGAATAATCTATCATTATTTGACGTTTAACTTCTGCGGTTTTCGTTTTAAGTTTTTAGTACATTGATACAATCTATTTGTGTGTATAATTACTTTCCAAGGCATTAATTATTGTATGAATAATGTATAGAAACAAGTACCAACGCGGCATGCTAACAATATTTTACAGCGTAGGTTCAAAGCCATTGGAAATTTGGGAGACGCACGTCAAAAATGGATATATAACAAGATTTTTAGATCAGGATATAAAGTCTATGGTCTTAGAAATAGGCGGCACTAATGTAAGTACTACGTACATAAACTGCCCAAAAGGGAATCAGATTTTGGGTATCACAATGCCTTTCCTGGTAATGATAGTGAAGAATCTAAAAAAATATTTTTCGTTCGAAGTTACAATACTAGATGACACCGGAACTAGGAGACGATTTCGCGTGTCGAATTTCCAAAGTACAACTCAAATACACCCCTTATGTACTGTCATGCCAATCGGTTTAGCAGATGATTGGAATCAAATCCAGTTCAACTTGGCAGAGTTCACCCGCCGCGCTTACAATAAACAGTTTGTTGAAGTGCAAAAATTAAAGATAAATGCAAATATTCGCCTAAGGCGTGTCTATTTTACGGAAAGATTGATTCATATGGACGAACTGCCCGCAGAATACAAGTTGTATTTTCCTTTAGAGAAGAAAGGTAAAATGCCAACTCCTTTACAGAAGAAAGATAGTAAAGAAAAACAAAGTGTAATTCCAGAACTGCCAGCGATTCAGGATGATAAAGTTGAGATAAAAGTGTCGGACGTCAGCATTAAGGATCAAGTTACTAGAGGTGGCATTACAAACTCAAATAATTCGTTAAAAAATAAAAGTAATGGCCATTTGGAAAAAAATAATGATATGTATGATCAGCAACTAAGTGATAATGACTTCATTGTTACAATCTTAGATGAAACCTTTGAAACGATCTTTAAAAATATAAATGTGGAATGAAGTACTTATTATAATTAAAGGAATGTTATTATTGCTTAATAATTAAGATGATTTGTCTTTAACATGTGATTTAATAAACAATTGATTTATTTTAATATTTGGACAACTGATGTTTAATTTCATATAAGTAGAGATTAGGAAAATAATAAAAAAATAGATTAATATTATTTTTAAGAAGCTTGGTGTGCTCCGCAAGGCGAGACAGCACTTAAGTTGGCTCAGCGCCTAAGCCTCTATGAAGCGCAAATTTGGCCCCACATGAAGTACTGTTCTCATCGCTAGGCAACCTCCCTATTACCAGCTTCTTCCATTTGACCGCATTCAACGTAGGGCGGCTTGGGTTATCGACGATGAAAGTCTTTCCGATTGGCTTGATCCTTTGGCTTCGTAGAGATGTTGGATCAGTCTGCATCTTCTACCGCATTTATCACGAGGAGTGTTCCGAGAAATTGTCTGAATTAATTCCGGCGGCTGAATTTCACCATCGGACATCGCGCCAAAACGAAAAATTTCATCCACATCACCTCGATGTCAGCATTCCGCAACGGAGTGATTTAAAAGGTACTCCCGACTTCCAAAACTCTGTGGACTTAGCTGCCGTCGGCGGTCTTTCCGAACCGTTACTTCCCGGGAGCCTTCAAGAAGAGAGAATATTCTTTCCTAAAAGGCCAGCAACGCATTTGTAAGCCCTTCGATGTTGCAGATGTTCATGGGCGGTGGTGATCACCTGCCATCAGATGAGCCCGTTTGACCTTTTTTCCATAAAAAAGCTTATTTTTTAGTTAAGTCAATATTAAAAATATACTTAGTGCTCGTTTTCCCATGAATATGAATGTTTGCCCAAAATATGAAATACAGAATTTAATAAACAGAGAAAATTTAATAAGCAAAAAAACTGCTAAATATTTTTCTGGATTCATTTCGATTTTCTAATTTATCTTTTTCGATTTTCTAATTTCTCAATTACCCTTATTCACTATAAATTTTTATTTAAAATTTCAATAAGTTTTTAATACTTGCATTACTCTTTTAAAATAATAGTTTCTACTCAAAAATTAACAACTAAAATATTTTTTACAAAACTCAACAAGAAATGTAGCAAATGCCTTGAAATTTTTCAGCTTATTATGCTAACCTCGTTTTTCATTGATTCGAATTAAATAATTTATCTATTTAAATGTTATTGGTTAACTCATTTAATAAATGAAATAATACTGGCTGAGAACAATTTTTAAGTAATAATACTGTCAACAGGTAGGCATAGTGAAGTGTCAATCATTTTTAAAACAAACATTTACTTTAAATATTTAATAATGTTTAAAAACACTTACCAAAGCGGCCTTTTAACAATATTTTATAGTTGTGGATCTAATCCTTTAGCGATATGGGATATGGAAGTTCAGAATGGTCACATAAAGAGACTCACCGATAGTGAAGTGAACTCCATAGTTCTTGAAATAGTTAGTACTAATGTTGCAACAACATATATAACTTGCCCGAAAAGGAATCAAGTGTTAGGTATTAGATTACCTTTCCTGGTAATGATCGTGAAAAATTTAAAACGGTATTTTTCATTTGAAATTACTATACTGGACGACAAAAATTTGAGAAGAAGGTTTAGAATTTCTAATTTTCAATCCACGACGAAAATCAAACCGTTTTGTACAACTATGCCTATCGGCTTATCAGCTGGGTGGAATCAGATACAATTTAACTTGGCCGACTTCACGAAACGAGCATACGGAACACAATTTCAAGAAACTCTGCGTGTCCAAGTACATGCAAATGCGCGCTTGCGAAGAATTTATTTCTGCGAACGCCTATTTAGTGAAGAGGAATTGCCTCAAGACTACAAACTATATTTGCCTTTGGAGCATAAGCAAAAAAAGACAGCGGGAAACAAGGATAAGGGTAAACCGGCGCCAACATCAGCCGCACCACCTTCACCGCCGACGCCCCAAAAACAGATTGCTGAACCGGCACCCAAAATTACCTCTCCGAAAGAAGAATTATCGCAAAGCGCTAGTGTTCATACCACCACTCCAATAGCTACAGATATAGCAGCTGAGGAGCCCCCATTAACAAAAGAGGAACCCCCTTTAACAAAAGAGGAGCCCCCATTAACAAAAGAGGAACCCCCTTTAACAAAAGAGGAGCCCCTTTCAACAATAGAGGAACCCGGACCGGATGAGATGAAAGCAGGAGAAGAAGTCGTTGCTGATGCGAAGTCTATAAAAGAAACAACTAATGAACAACCCGCTGAAGACCATGTAGTTAAAGAAGAAGCAGAAGAATCTTGAAAAGGACTTTTCAAATATTGGTGATTATTTAGATTTTTGTCACATACTTTCAAAACTAGATTCATTATATTAATGCTTAGCGGCGTCGCCGTAACAATGTAGTATAATAAAATAATATACAGGAAGTGATTAACCTTGTTATTCTAACAATATTTATGACAGTTTAAATATTCTTATGTCATTTGGAAATGTTGTTTTTGCCGTTTTTGAAAAGTTTTTAGACTTTAGTGAGTTAATAAAGCTTGCGTACTGATTCGGCATTTTTCAATTTTTTTTCTATTACTTATTCTTACAAAAATGATTTCATGCCTGCATTATTTCCAATAGGTTTCAGTGATTGATGTGATTGGATTTGATTCATAAAAAATAAAATTAAACCTTGACACCATTAGAACATATTAACAAAGTAGAGAGTACGAAATTGTCCACTCTTATATAGGTCCCTTATCAATACGTTTTTGTTTTCCTCGAGTAAAATTGAAATATCTAAGCCAAATGGCAACAAGAAATTGTGGGACACAAGAGCACCAAAAGTTTGAGCTTTTTAGTGGATCCTGAAAATTGCTATGTTTACACGTCCAATCAAATATTTTAACAATTCTAAGTTCAAGGTCGATCTTACTGAAGAGAGGCGTTTTAAAATATGCGTGTCGTCTGGTTTGTAAGCTAAAAGTAACGGTTTGTAGATGAAAAAAGATTGTAAATATAAAATCTTCATATTTAGTATTACTATATTATCATGCCCGGACACTGAGCCGTAATAGCTGTGTCCGGGCGCTCGCCTTTAATTATATTTACTCGAGCAACCTGAGTTCGATCCCCGGTGCCAGCACCAATTAAATTGTTAATTTTAAGTGCTGAATCATCACGTGGCGAAGGAAAACATCGTGAGGAAACCTGCATATTTTCGAAATAATATAAAAAAAATGTTTCGAAAATATGTGAAGTCCGCCATTACGCAGTGGGGTCGCGTGGTGAACTATGCCCTGATACACTTTACAGAGGAGGCCTTTGCCCAGCAGTGGGACATTTATAGCCTGTTACTTTACTTTTTTACTTTTATACTATCATGATGACTCGATGGAGCTTAACAACTGCTAAGCCTGGCTTGTGCATCGCGTGTTGGGGGATGCATTCTCGCACGGTACAAGTACTTATGTGCCCACAGATAATTGTTCCGGATCTGGGTGCTTGTTTCCCAGGAGGGTTGTCATCAGAAAAGTCGTAAAAAATAAATAGTAGCCATTAAAGACATAATTCACATGTTGTATCGACCCCATCAAAGTAGGATAAAGGCAGAAGAAAGAACCGTCCTGTAGTCGCGGGCTTATAGAATAGGACTAAGGTATTCCCTGCCTGTCATAAAAGGCGACTAAAAGGGGACGCGGATTGGCAGCAGCACGAAGTGGTCTCGAGCTGCTGCAAAATGGTGAGGGAATCGGGGAAGGTCTATCCTTCTCCGAGGCGTGCTCAAGCGCAGTACTGAGGGATACCGGTGCGTTCCGTGGGAGATCCCGGAGTTCCTCCAAACGTACAGGGGGTGGCCATCGAGGGGGTTTTAGTGGGTAAGAACCCCACGTAACCCTGTCATGTAAGGTATCTTTTGAAAATTTCACCAACGATACCAAAAAAAAACAGAAGAAAGAAGAAGGGAAGATATTTAGCACTTCTTTTTTCGTAAAAGTAGTTTTATTAGCTTAAGGTATTTATACTATACCATAAGATATACCATATATAAGAGTGATGTGAGTGTTGTCTAAAGGTATAAAGTATACTTATATATTTGTATAATATCTGCTTACAAAATACATATCCACAAAACTGTTTCTCGTCTCTCATTGAAGCGGTTATTGTGGCAGAGCCAGGCAACAGTCTACACTGTTGCACGAATGGGCAGGTCCGGGGAAGTACCACGTCCTCACAGAATACCGGCGTGAAGTAGAAGTGTTATACTTTTACGTTTCGTCTGCAGTCAACTTTATTAAAAGGCAGCCCTACATCAGGTGAACCGCCAGCTCACTTGCCATCTTTTCACATTAAAAAAAAAAAAAAACTTTTTATACAGTGAAACCTTTGTACCTCGCGCGTATAAGTATGCATAAATGTACATACCTGCTACGGCAACAATAAGCAGAGTGCCTCATTATGTAATTCTATAGGTTCCTACGCAAAGAGAACGGTATCTCGAATCGCATTGACCGGGTCAATTGCTTACGGAATTGAATAAAAATATTGAAATGCGTACCGTGGGGCCCGCTACCGAAAATCTCGGGTCCCTATTTTCTCTTTTTATTACATTGAATAAGTTAGAGTGCGTGTCTTTAAATATGTAAACAAAAATGCCCGGAGAGTACTCCCGGGCGATTTCTACCTGTATAAGTCAATGTAAGTACTCAATTATAATGAATGTTTCAGGGAACTACGGAAAAACTATGATGAAAGGCAAAACGGGTCCATCTTTAATGTACGAAATTGATATGGAGAATCGCCAACAAAAAGTTTTGTAGGCTGTATCCCTTGTGGATCTTTTTATTACGTGCGCTATTCACGTAGAAAATAATTTGATTTGATTGATTGTGGTTTAAGGAACTGGCGATTCACAATGTAATGTTTTGGTTCACACTTCTAAATTAGCGTTTGTTTGGATTACGCTTATACTTTCAAATCATAATAGTGTGTTGAGAATTTTACTATTTAACTTTTCGACTCTCTCTCTCCAATACACAACCAGCAAATTTTTCTTTTAGGATCAGCAAATTCAAGCACAAACATTATTTTAAAACACGAAACCCCGGACCGTTGTCTTTTATAATATTTTCTTGACACCGACATACGTAATAAGTTAGTGGTGCTTGGAGCGATAAATCTCGCGGCGGGTCCGTTTGCCTCGAGTGCGAGCAGACAGTACGCGGCGCGAGTGTGTGATGTTTGCTCGTTGCGCACGTAAATCTAATAATAAATAAATAAATAAATAAATATTTCAGGATACATTTTTATACGTCATCTATTCGAAAATTAAGCAAAACCTTTATTATGGTTATTAATGATCAATACATTTAGACATCTTATTATTTTGTAAATTAAATCCATATTATAGATAAGTAAACCCCCCTGATACTAGAAAACGCCATATTCATCACACAATAGTTTTCCAGTAGTGGATTGAACCGACACCCTTTGGCGCAAGGGACATTTCACCTCCCACTACGTCAAATGGGTCGTCAAATCAAATTTAAAATTATGTACCTAATAGTCCTAGACGAAAGTGACGATTCAAACATTGATAAATAAAGTTATCAATGTTTTAATATATCTATAAAAAAGTCTAGATAGGAAAATAATTCGCAAACAGATATTGAGGTCGATTTAGGTTAAAAAATTTCAACAAACAGCTACTTCAAATAATTACTTTGTTTTAAAATGATTAATAAATAATAACAGTAAATGAATGAAAACTCAGAAATATCTTTTACCACACATATTACAAGAATAAAGTATAATAAAATACATAAAATATTTGTTCCTATTTTAGGATAAGTACTGTTTCCAACGGTTAAAACTTTTTAAGTTAAGATACCGTCGTCAAACCGTCGAAAAATTGAACAGGGAATTTAGCTCTTTAAAAATTACTTAATGTAAAAAAAACTCTTATGTGCAGCCCTCATGACTGGAACTGCTGCCAACCGATTATAACTCGGGCCAAGTTATTTAAGCGAACTAAAGTTAAGCATTTCGCTGCGGTGGCTGGTGGTCGTATTAAATCTTTAATTAACTTCCAGCTATAAGCATGGGCGAAATTGTTATTAATATTTTATGAAGACTATCTCAATTACTTTAATGTTACACAGTCATGTTTTTATCATACAAAATAGAATTCAAAAACTTATGGTTTTATGTTATTAGGTTTTTTTAACAATGAAATCATCCAATATTGTGTATTTTTGGCTCGAAAAATGTTGTATTTAGTGTTTAAAAGAAAATATGTCAATTAAAACATAGGAATATATAGAACGTTGATTTAATTGCAGCCGACAAATCAGAATTCCATTAACTGGAAACCTAATCGGGAATCCAATAATGGGGTAAAACATCGTAGCGGTAAACTGTTATGGCTAACACGAAAAGTGTTAAGAAGATTTGTCCAACGTGTTTTACAATAGTCCAGTGCGCGTTAGGTGACAAATCTTTAGAGCGGAACGTTTACGACGAAGCGTATATAATATTCTGAGTTTCTTCGTTTGCTGAGTTTCTTTCGCCGCTCGCTGAGTTTCTTTCGCCGGTTCTTCTCAGGTGAGTGGCCTTTTTCCCGAACCGTTGGTTGATAGTGTTTTTGACAAACAATAAGTATGTGTCGTACTTCTATCTATACAGATAAATAGAACTGGAGTGTCTGTTTGTAATATTAAAATAATCGCTTTTTACTAAATGCATAATATGGATGAATACACGGTACATATATCAAAATATTTTTGTTTACAATTTTGTCTGTGTATCTGTCTGTCTGTTTTTTCCAACTAATCTCTGAAACGGCTGAACCGATTTTGACGGGACTTTCAATGGTAACAGCTTAAGGAGGATAGATATACCTATTAAGGAGTAACATAATCTACTTTTATTTTAGAAATTTTATTTATTTTAAATTTCACGCGGACGGAGTCGCGGGCACAGTTAGTATTGAATATATTTGAATTCAAATTAATCAATCTGAAGTACGTCTGAGCACCGACGTCCGGCCTACGAAATTGGCTACGAGCAGAGAAAGAGTGGTGAGTAGACTATAATAGATAATAAATGTGTCTAATAAACCACTCTTTTTTACATTATTAATAATTGTATCTTTCGATCGTTTGGCATCTATTCCTTAAAAGAGGAGAAACACATATGTGGAGATTTATTTGTAGAAACATAAATTCTAAAGGAAAAGACAAATCAACCAAGACAAGAAAAATCTATTAAATATGATACCGGTGCTTAATTGACTTAAGCTTACGATCTCA